GGAAAGGTGCTTCTAAACTCTGAAAAATAGCATCAAGTTGCTGGAAGTGGAGTGTGGGTTGATAGGCTATGAGTTGGTGTAGAAATGGTGTAGAAGCAAGAGTATTTTGAGGCTTGGAGTAGAGAGAGAGGGAGGCTTCAATGCAAGAGCTCCAATGGATTTTTCTAACCCCCTTAAAATGCAGCTGAGGGTGCTGATTTTATAGGGAAAGGAGTGGAGGAAAAGGGGGAAAAATGGGGGGGAAAACCAATTCAAATTTCCCCCCAAAAGGAAAGACCCTCGGGTATAGGGTCTGGAGGAAAACAAATTGCACACCTGGAACACACTTGGGGAGGGGATCATGGCCGGCCAGCTCAAAAGGGCCAAAATGGTCATCCAACCAGGTAGGTGGCCGGCCTGCCACCTTTTCTGGTCGGCCTGCTACTTTTCAGGACAAAAAATGGGTCAGCCGGAAAGAAAGGTGGCCGGTCAATGATAGGGAAGTCCAATGGTGGCCGTTCAAGTGTCCAAATTGAAGCCCCGAAAGTTACCTTTCCAATGAAGCAAACCTTGCATTAAAATTCCTCTTGTGGAAAAAGTCATACTTGTTTTGGTGAAGCCGCGCAGATTCGGTCCAACAGGAGTGATGCCCTACTTCAATCAACCATATCTCCTCCGTCCGGAATTGGCTTTAAGAGATTCTTGAGTGAAAAATGAAGCTCCGGAAGTCTTTTTTCCAACAGTGATGGCCTCATAGCTTGATTCCAAGTATGTAAATGAATAGGCCCGATTCGGCGAGGGCTGCTTGCCTTTTTCTTAACGGTCCATGCCCATTTTCTCCCCCAACTGGATTTCTTCCCTCTTCTCCTCTTTTCTTCAACTCCAAACCCCTAAGTAAGGTGTTTTGAAAGATTTTTAAAAGATTTCATCTCTCTTTCGTTCATTTCCACTTTGTCCTTGCTCGGTTTACCAAAAAGCGCAACATTTGACAAAATGCGAGCCTCGGAACATCGTAAAAGCTTTATTTCAAAAACATTTTGAAAGAGAGGGTTTTAAGACTAAAATCTTTTGATCAAGATCGTTTTGGTCCAAAAAATAAAAGGGTATGAAGTTGAGATTCGACTCTCTCTCCTTGCCGAAGAAATTAAACCTTTGCACTGTCCAACTTCCAAAACCATCAGTCACGTCCAAGTCTTGAAAGTGGTCAAAAATGGGGTGTTTACACTATGCATCCCAACTAGGTTGGCACCCGTAGCAGAACTAATCATGTGCATGACCCAAGCCCCCAAAAGAGTTAGAAAGATTCCAACTCAAATCCCCTTAGACAATACAACCTTACACTCTCCTACCCGAACAAAATCGGATTTGCATCAGGTTATGCAGGAAATCAGTTACAGAAAAATGAAGATCCCAAGAAGTGGATTTTAACCAAATTGCAAGCCTAACAATGATTACTTCAAGTAGTTCTTCCATGTTAGGTTGGGTATCTTGGAAGAGGCAATCGTTCCGATGCTTCCAAATGGACCACAGAGCCACGAAGGGGATAGCATTCCAAATTATTTTTTCAGCTTTCATGAACTTGTTCCCAGCCCACCACTGCAGCAACCTATCAACAGTTTGAGGCACCACCCAAAGAGCTCCCCACCATTGTAGGAGACCAGTCCAAACTCTCCAGATCGAAGGACACCAGATAAGCACATGCTCAACTGTTTCTTGTTCAACTTTGCAGAAAATACATACAGTGGCAGCACTATCCTCCAGCACTCCAATTATGTGCAAGAACACTGATGTTTTTACCTTATGCTTCCATGCGAGCCATCCAAAAAATTGAACTTTAGGTGGGAGGTACTTGACCCACACCAGTCTGCTACAATTCTTGACTTCACCATGCTTTAAATCAGTGCGACTGTAAAAGGTTGAGACAAAGGATTGACCAGATTTGGTAGCTAACCAGACTACTCTGTTTTTTCAAGCAGATTCAAAACAAGACCAAGTCTGATAGAAAGGTTAAGATTGAGGAGCTCTTCACGTTCCCATTGAAATAAGGCCCTTCTAAAGCTGATCACCCAATTTTCAGAGTTACCTCTTTTATTAGCATAATCCCTGAGAGACCCATCCTTCTCATTTGACAACCTGAACAGTCTAGGGAATAATTCTTTGAGGCTAACTCCACCATTCTAGCAATCATGCCAGAAAGAAACTCTACAACCATCACCCACTCTAATCTGAAGGTTATTTATATAAAATTACAGAAGGCTAACTTTTTGATTTGCTGCCACCAATATATCACCCCAAATCTTGGATACTCTAACCCCTGTTTGAAAATCTGGACGCCAATTTCCACCTTCAACTTTGTATTTGCAACATATCACCTTCTTCCAGAGAGCTTGTTCCTCATTGACATACCTCCACCACCACTTCATTAATAAACAAACATTCGTGTCTCTGATTCTTCTAACACCCAATTCCCCTTGCTTAATACTTTTTGTTACCTCATCCCATTTCACTAGATGAACTTTCCTCTTTAGTTCAACTCCATCCCATAGGAATGAGGCTTGTAATTTTTCAATTTCTTTTGTTATCCCTTCTGAAATTTTGAACAGAGAGAGGTAGTACACCGGCAGACTAGATAACACTGCTTTAATTAGTGTCAACCTACATGCAAAGGAGAGAAATCTCCTCTTCCAACCAGCAAGCCTAAGCTTTATCTTGTCCATGACAGGTTTCCAGATCAACTTTCTATGGGGGCTAGCTCCCAATGGCAACCCAAGATACTTGAGTGGTGCTAACTTAATATTACAGTTTAGCATACCTGCAAACTCATGGAGCACAGATTCAGAGATACCAAACCCACATATTACACTTTTGTGATAATTTATTTGAAGCCCTGAAACAATTTCAAAACACCTACGGATCCTTTTTAAATAGCACTTTTGACCATTCAGCATCACAAAACATCATAGAATCATCTGCAAATTGAAGATGTGACACAACCACATTATTATCACCAAAAACTACTCCTTTCAGCAGCCCCAACTCCCTAACTCTCATAAGTAATCATAAAATTAAAAGTAGCATGCTCATCCTTTAAAGTACTGTCAATCAACTTGAACACAAAACATATGATTCTGGACACCTTTAACCGATACATGTGAGCATCTATTTAGGTCCCACTAAGAGACACCAATTATTTTTTCAAAAATAGGTATGATTTTATTTCAATTGAGAATAATATTGGTTCATTGATAGATTTACTATGGTATTCCTTTTTTTTACAAAAGAATCACAATATTGAAAAAAAATTTGGAGACTTGGTCCAGCCAATCAATTCACTATAAAGAATAAAATACAAGTTACGACTTAAGAATCAATTGTAACCGAATCCACGTTGTCTGATCAACGAACTAGCTGACGTACTCCTATTGAATCCACGAGCTCTAATGGAGTCTCGGATGAAACCGTCCCTAGTTTTGTTGTAATTTTTGGAACCTTAGAGAATTGTGGAAGTTGCAGCACTTTCATTGGAGTCTTTGATCAGCAGCAAGTCATTATCTAGCAATTATTTTGTGTAATAATGATCGACTAGATTTCCATATTCATCATTATCCATCATGATGAAACTCTGAAATTTCCTTAAATCATTAATACTGAATTTCTTTTCTTTTTTAACTAAGTCTAATTTGCCAGAATTTTTGCAGATCACTAAGATCTCAAAGTTAAAAGTTTTGCCACCACTCCCAATTGTATTCTTCAAAGTACCAAAAAAAAAAAAAAAATTATTTTAATTCTATAATTCCAAACACAACTTAAATTTTTTTTAAATTTTATTAACAAGAGTCTTTAAAATATATGTTAAGAAGCTGAAAATAAAATGTGCTTTAACATGTCGCATGTTAAAAAGACACGTTCTTTAAATCATTAATGGTCCTTGCAATGATTTGAGTTTTATTCGCAATGATTGTTCAAGAGTAATTTTTCACTTCCTTCTGGTTTTTTTCCCCTCTTTTGGTGGAACAGGTGACTGAGGTGCCCATTCGCAATTGATATCATCAAAGATCCATTTCACAACACCAACAATTGCAATAATATCTTTCTAATAATTTTACAGTAATTAAGATTATCCATTTAAATCACTATTGACTATATATTAGACTAACCACCTACTTAAATTACATGAGTTCAATTACAGATTAGTCATTTTGTACTATCTACTCATAATAAGAGTGGGCTCACATGTCATCACTATGTCAACCCCACTCCCATTATTAAGAGATGATAAAACATACCGTAAAAAATGATGTGCGTCTAATCTTTTTCTATTACAAAACTACTGCAAAAATGATTATTGCATAAAATTTTAGTGCACATTGTCTTTTCCACTTGTGTTTATCAGAAGATGGGCCAAATCAAGGGTAAGCAAAACCTGTGAACTCGAAAATCATAGGCCCATCAAAAACAATACCCCAACAAACGAGGCCTCAATTCTATAGAGGTAAGCTACAGACTTCACTCTGGGCTCAATGAAACATACGCTTTTTCACAACTATTAAATTATTTATGAACATATGCCTCTAAAGTCTCCACTATAAGCATTTTAGAACAGGGAACGGAGGATGCTGGGTCACTTTTCTGTAGTCACAATCTATTTAGATCTGTTGGTCACATATTTAAATTCAACAAAATATTATTATTTAAGATTTTTTATAAAGAATCATTCAACATAATGACATGATAGTAACCTTTTTATAAATAAAATAAATCATTTTAAATCATTACTCTTAATTTTAAAATAGAATCAGGAAGCATATCTAGATGACTTGGGGAACATGAACTTCTTAATCCATCATGGCCAACCCAAAAAAAACCAGCTACCTTCGTGCTCAAGTGGAGTCTCAAAACTCTAATAAACAGGCAAAATATTAGATCACCTATGGAGACATAGCTCCCTCAGACATTGAAACAACCACAACGCAAATTGAACCAATGTGAAAAATGGTCACAACCAAGACACATGCATTCAATAACACCATAATCATTGGCATGTGAAGAAACATAACATTTCATTTTCAGATCATGTCAGCCATAGTTTCATCCCAAATCAAAGTAACTATCGACCAAAACATAGCTACATTGGTATCATCCTATAACAGATTTCCTGAATTGTTCATTTTCCTAACATTTACTGTGGTCCTCCCAACAGCACCAGTCCTGATGAATACAGATGGTGATGCCAAGTCTTGATGAATACAATTAAGAAGTATGACGGGTGTAAAAGGGGTTACAGACACAAAAAAAACCCAGATCAGACACGTGTATTTCACGTTGCCACGAGCCTACAAGCGTGAGAGATCGTCTACGCTTTAAGCACTCATTTCCCTACCTGCACAAGATCAACCCTTTTTCTGATATAGACCTATTGGCATGAGGAGCGTTTTCTAGAATTGTTTTTGTTATTTGCATTGCCTTGGTCGGAAATTATCATTTGATAAGAGGGAACTTATAAGATTTTCTAGCCTTTTTGCACCAGCAGTTGGACGAACAACTGTGATATTACCCGCAACAGAGCATGGATCGGTCCCATTTTCTCTGCTTCCTACGCACCACCCGCCAGGAACAAGCATGTCTTGACCACGAAACAAGAGTTCAGAGTCAATCTTGTCAAGCACCGGATCATCCTGGTGGAACTTCCGGGCAAACGGAGCGTTACTGTCAACCATCTTTGACATGTCTTCAACGGTGAGGTAGTGAGGATGCTGCTTTGGAGGGTTGTCCCAGGATATGAAGTGTAGGTCGCTGTTGACAGTGGTATTATGAAATTCTTGAGCATTACAGATGACGGTGTGGAAATAGCCTTCTGGGGAGGAGATGAAGTTTGCATAGTACATGAGGACTGTTCGGGGTAAGTTGTCCCATCCCCATATGCAAAAATCAACAAATTGCCGAGAAAGTGCCATCCAAGCAGAACCTGTAAAATAAAGGAGAAATTGGGTTTCAATAATCTAGACTTGAAAGTGGATTAGGTTTAAAGATTTTAATAACAATCAGTCACTACATGATTTTTTCACTGAACTACAGAACCAAAATGTAAGGCATGTTTCCATCTCAGTCACATCTTTCAGATAGAAAATTATACACAGCTCAAGAAGAAAATTGAGAGAGAGAGAGACTCACATAAATGGTCTTGTAGCCTGCTCTTGCAAGAGAACTTGAAACTTTTATAGATAGTAAAAAGCGACAAAAAAAAAATCAATCATTCACAGAAATGGCTTGTAACATGTTCTCTCTGCAAGAGAACTTAAGGTTGTGTTTGGTGTGCAATTCTAATTAATTTTCCACCCTCAGATTTGAATGCTATGTTTGGTAGAGAATTTCAAATCATGATTCCAAATCAATTTCAAAACACATTTTGAAAACATATTTGGTAAACCGGAATGTTTTTGAATTTTTTGTCTACCCGGTCGTCCGTCCGGACATCCTTCTGGATGTCCGGCCGGTCATCCGGCCGGTTGACCGGAACAATACTTTTTGATTTTTTTTTTTTTTTTTTTTTTTTTTTTATTTTAATGGCGTTTCTACTACCAACCAAAGCCAACCCACACAATGACACACACACCAATGGCCACACCCACAACACTTTGATATTTTTTAAATATAGAAATTATTTTTTTAGACCAAAATGACAAATTATTTTTTTGAATTGAATTTTAAAAAGAATTTGGTTAGGATTTTTGAAAAGAATTTTCAATAGAGTTTTGAATTGTGTGTTTAGTTTAAATTTTCAAAATTTATAACCAAACAACTTTTCTCATTTCATATATCACATCAAAAATTCAAAACTCATAACCAACAAATTTTCTTCTTTCAAATCATAATTCCAAAACTCACAAACTCAAAATCTAACTCTATTCTCAAATCATAATTCTAAAATTCTACCAAACATTATCTAAAATTTTATTTTAGATAATGAAGAGCAACAGGATAAGAAAAACAAGGAAGTCACACTTAATTGACTACTATTAAAGAAGCCTCAATTTACTTGGTGCTTGATTTACCAAGCATGTAAGAGAACAAGACAAGTGAGGCAAGCAAACACTTTCACTCCATCTAGAATGCCTTAAACTAGAATGAAAATTATGACATAAAAACATAGTTTATAGGATAACACAATGACCTTGTAGCAGTGGTTTATAGGTTATGTAACCAGTCACTAGCATTAACACACCCAATAAAGGACATGTAAGTCAGTATGAGAAGTCAGTATTAACGTGACATCATAAAGGAATTTTAACAGTACAATATCCTAAACTTTACTCAACAAGGAAAAAAAAAAGGTATGAGAGGTCACTCTGAGTTTGGATAACTGAATCTGGACTACTAAACCCCGCAAATTTGGAATTTGCAGGGGAAAAAAAAAAGGGAGGGTGCATGCTGTTGAGTGGATTACTTTGCTCAAATCATCACATGATTATAAATTATGGCTTTCCACACATCAGGCACATTGAGAAGGGCTGACACACAGGACAAATAGAAGACAAGCAGACAGCCAGAAAGAGAGATGACCCCACATTAATAACGGAGATGCCTGAGTTCAGGGCTGACAAAACAAGCAGACAGATAGGCTATGATTCTAAAATAAAATCCTTCCCTAGTTACTTCAATTCAAGGTCTCATGTTTTGAAAAAAAGAAAGAAAGACACAAATGCAAATCCGAATGCAACCATATAACAAATTTCTCCTCTCCCTACAAATCAAAATGTGTAGAACAAGATGACACAAATGAGGGTATGTGAGCTGCAAATGATGCATCTGTTACTCAAGGTGCCATTGGCCACAAAGGCATGAAATGAGCATGAGGTATTAAGGCATGTGATAAGCTCTTATCACTCTCCAACTCAAGTATATATTCACTATTCTCATACATGTCTCAAATAATTCACGTAAACCACTATCCACACACAGTCGGATCCAAATGCAAAAATGATAAAAACAAAAATGTGGGTAAGATCATGAATGCGGATGATAGACATCAAAGTATATTCTAATATTCTTTCTCCAAGCAATTCCACACCTATCTAAATCTTTCATTTCAACTCCACCAGAAAGTAAGATTATGATGCGGATGATAGCCAAAATCAACCACTTCATATTAATGCTGGTGACGGCTTCAACTAAAGCAATAACTTCCTCTTGCATGCCTCCCCAAGTGACATGCAAACTAAACCACTATGCATATGGAACCCAGGGTCCAAAAAAAGGGGTGACAGATATTACCATGGTTATAAATAATGGCCGTTTGGAAATTTAGTGCTCCGTTACCATTCTGACACTATTTATCGGATACAAAAAGAATTCACAACCACATCTGCTGCTATGGTCACAACCCAATTCCCGCTGCGGTCAAACTATTTTTTTTCTCAATTTAGTCCTTAAACTATTCAATTTTTCCCAATGTGGCCTAATTGCTAACTGCTATTAACTTAATTGATGGAAAATGTCACATGGCACCAACCCGACATAAACCCAAGGAAAGGTAGAGGAGGTCGATGGTCCTACGGTCCTTGCCTTTAAACGAGAATTTGGATATCCTCGTGAGCAAACATGAGTAAAGGGTGCTATATGTAAAACTCATGAATCAATGAGGTGTAGATAGTAGTATGTCATAGCAAGCCTTGTATTAGCCACTAGCATTTCTAATTATCCTAGATAATTAAGGGGTTGTTTGGGATGATCTAAATAAGTGCACTTTCTGATTTTTTATGAAATATGGGTTGGGTTTGAAGTGATGTGATAGAGAGGTGATGTGACTTAGATAGGATGGTGACTTTTTGACTTTTTTAGGAGATGCCAAACCTAGCCTAAATTCTCTTACTAGATGAAATTCTCCACTTTTTTGGCCTAAAATTAACACAAAATTCAATATCATTTAAAAAACTTGTTTTTAGGTGCCAAAATGTTTTTTAGAACCCATTACAAACATTCAAATTTTGATAAATAGGTTACATGCTTATTAATGAATTCTTTTAAGCATTTGCTAGGGCTTGAGAAAAATTCACAAGTTCCATTTCCGATTTTCATTACACATTAGTTGAAACTCTCAATATTGTTACACGGTAGCCATTAAGCTTGCCAATACCTCAATTTAAAGACACATATTGTACTCATTGCTAACATCTTCACACAATCACAATTTGGTCCTCCAGATGAGCTTTGTTATAACTCCACTCAAATCATTGAAGCATTATAAGCAAATGCATTATATTACAACCATGGAGGATGCATAGTGGGGATGATCACCACAAAGGTACATCGTGAAACTAACCATTCCCTAATGTTCACCCATCTATTTGAGATTCTAGGTGAGGTCGAACACGTATAAGCTAACCTCTTTGCACAAATAAGCAGCCATGAAATGTAACCTCATTCTTGATAACACAATTGCAAAGATACATAGTGAAAACAACTATTTCCTAGCATTCACTAGGTGGGGCATAATGCAAACAAACTAACCTTTATTTGCAAAAAGTGGCTACCATGACATTCAATCCCATCTCATGCTTGACAATATGAGCTTTTACAAATACCCAAAGAAATAGTGGAATTTAAGTACTTATACTTTCTAAAAAACAAATAGTTTACACCCAAATTCTGCCCAGTCACATTATAAAAGGTACCACACAACATGAACTTGGAAACACATGTTGGATTCAAGGATGCGTCCATAAACTATGTTACATGGACTCGGGTACGGGTGTCGGGTGTGGGTATGTATCGAGAGGTCAGACTCATCAAATCATAAATTTAAGGGTACACAGATTTGGCAAAAAAATGTCATATTTTTATATTTTTAATCTAGTATGTGAGATAAAACGGTACTATATATAACTTACAGTGTCAAAATGACATTTATAGCAATTATACAATAATATGTACATATAATAGTAGTCTTATATACAATAATATAAGAAGTATCCGTCGAAAAGTATCAGACACATATCCTATACCCTTGTCCAAGCGTTAGTTGTCTGATATGGGTATTTGATTTATTTTGAAGAGTTCGTATAACATAGTCCATACATATACTTCATCTAATCTCAAAATGTTAGGACATGGGACGGATCTTCAAGGTTGTCCAACATTCTTCTTATGTACTCATGGATGGAAAGAATTGCCCAACTGCTATTAATCCATAAAGCTTCACCCTTTCCCAATCAATGTAAAAGTGAGAAACAAAATAAGAAAATATCCTAGAGGAATTCTGTCAACCACAGGCTGCTTTCATCTCTTCATCTAGTCAAGCGTGCCCCTTGGATACATATCCAACCTCAGGCATGTCCAACACCTATCTCGCAGCCATAGCCTTTTCTCAAAATGGGAACTTTCAGGTGATGCAAAAAAAATGACCACCTTTGCAATAGAGAGAGAGAGAGAGAGACGGGGGTTGTAACCAGCAAAACTAGAGCATAATGAATGAAAGAGAGGTTAAAAATGCTGCCAATCAGCATATGCTTAACAAGTTGGAAGTGTTATAAGACAACTATAAGACCAATAATAAGATGCCTGCTGGAACATTATAAATGTTATCTTTAACATAAGCATGCTGCAATGGTAGATACTGAGATGCATGTTTCGCAAGAAAATACGTTCTTCAGAAGTTTAAGGTACAACCAACTGGAGGGAAATAGAAAACAAAATTCAGTTAAATGGTTCACTAATAGGCAGTGGAGACCATTAGATACATCAAACAGGAGTGAAATATGTCAAGTTGAAATGGTCTAAGGATGAGAGCATTCAAAAAGAAAAGATGGAGGTAAAGAAAAGAGACACTATTTCTTGGGATTTCAAACAAAGCCTAGTCCCATGTAAAGAAAATTGGTAAAATAGGAATCATGGATGTAACCATTTAGGGAGAAGGCTTCATAGACTTGACTGCTTTTCTTTTTTTCGTCTTTCTTTTTCCATTGTGAAAACATCCTTGGTTTGACTTGAATCCATACCATCTGTTTTCTTGCAATCACAACATTACCACCAAACCAAGACAATCTTGGTTTGAGGTTACTTTACTTTAGTCTGCTTAAGTTGCAACCACCAATACGTGTGCATGTGTGCTTCTGTGTACAATTTAACTTCTTTAAGATATTAAGCTAGCCACACTAATAGAATCATTAATGAATCAATTTTTCTTTAGATATCTTGTAGACAACAATATGCAACTTAACTTGAATTATTAGGAGTTTGAAAGTTCCAGCTGACAAATGGAGCTTAGATAGTGCAGGTTTTCAAGTAAAGTTAAAACTTGAGACAGTTTCAAAATTCAACTAGTCATTGGAACAAAGTAGCTTCAAAATCAAATAAAGCAATAATATTTTTGCATTCGCAGGGTTGTATCCTTATAATCCCCTTCCCAATTTCTGATCAAGGCTTCTTCTAATACTAGTTGTATCCATACATATGCTAGATCCCCACTATTCCAAAAGCTTAAGTTGTTAGGAAAGGCGCCCAAAAATACATACCAACCCCCCCTCCAAAAAAAAAAAAAAAAAAAAAAAAAAAAGAAACGTACAAGCCCAACTTGCACATGGAGATGCAGACATCCAAACACATTGAGAAACATACTGCATGTAGGAAATAAAATGCAAATAGAGACTTGAACCCAAGGTATCTATTAACCTGAGCTACGATACCATGTTAGATCACCACAACTCCTAAAGGTATCAGATGTTGGAAAATGGCCCTAAAAATGCATAACAAGCTCTCCAACAACATAAAGGGTGTAATGTGATGCAGCACAGTAGAGGAAGAAGGTGAAGAGTAAGGAGAAGAGAAGAAGAAGGCAAAGAAGAAGAACATAACTGAGGTTAGAAAAAAAAAGGGGAAACAATCACAATCAATATTCAATTTTTCAATATCCAAGTCAAAGTCCACAAAACCTATCACATATAGCCTATTTATAGGCATCTTAACCCTAATTAAAAGTTCCACTTGAAAGTTTGAAAGTCCTACAAGAAAGTGATCAGTGATCATCTCAATCTCAATTACAAATAACTTTGACACACATGAAAAAGAAGGCATCATATTTCTCACCATTATGTATAAAATTAACAAACAATTTCAATTTGAGGGAAAAAAAAAATTAAAAAAACAAATAAGAAGCTCCATTTAATTGATCAATTTTATTCCATGAAGAATTAGACTTGCTTAAAAGCTACATAAAACACAATGAAATAATATTATTTCCACTAGATGTCCAACTTCACCCAACACAATGAAAAAATATATATTGTTTTGACACAAGAAAAACAAAGAACACATTAGACAAGAAAACATTTGAGCAACCTACAGCTGAGACTCACAAATGACAAAATAGGACAGATATAACCTAATGTGCAAACAAATACTATAAACAGTTAATCAAGAGGAAAGATTTAAATGCAACGTAATAAATAAATTATTGAAATATGCCAAAGTGCACCTGTAAATAGCTTGAAGGCTGACGGCACACTTCTTCGCTGTGTAATCCAGAAAACATCAGCTTTGTTTGTCATATACAACCCTGGATCAATGATTATTGGCTTTGCACGCTGAAACCTACATATTTATTAGAATTATGCAATTAATCATGAACTCTGCTCACCAGAACTACTAAATAAGAGAGATCAAAAATTAAAAAGAACAAAATCACATACTCTTTCCACCCAATATCACTTGTATGATCGATGAAATTAAGATCACGCGGCAGATATGAGAAAGTGTGAAGCAGATCTAATCAACCAAAACCCATTAACAAATTACTCAGCAAACACAAGAACAATCAAGCATTTTGAAGCTCAATAACTAAAATTGAAGACAAACCCATCAAAACCCATCAACCAATTACTCAGCAAACATACACACGCACAAATTCAAACTTTTTAAAGTCCAATCACTAAAATTGAAAATTCAAGACAAACCCACCATCTTGAGTAACAAGAGGATAATCCGAGGCACTGAGATTGATAAACCAGTCCCAATCCCCACCTCCCTTCAACAAAATCGCCGCGGCGTGAAGCGTATTCGCCACCATCGTTGGCCCTCGATAAGTCACTAGATTCGCCTTGGTAATCATTACAACATTGTCGAATTTGATAAAAATGGGATGAGTGTTAACAAAGTTTTGCAGATCGAGCCGCTCTTGAGGCGACGATTCGGCATCGAGATGAACAACATAGCGATTGTTCGGGTGGTAAAGGGCTTGGAGGGTACGCCGGAGCATCTTACCGTCGCCGGCGGAGCCAGAAATAAGGTAGGCGAAGCGCGGCGGAGGAGGGAGGGAGGAGAGCGGAATTGGGCGGAGCTTGGATTCGACAAAAACAGAGGAGGCGGCGGTGGAGCGGTAGAGAGGGAGGAGAGGAGTACCGTCGGGGGAGGTTAGGGTAGTGAGGAATAGAAGGAAGAGAGAGACTATAGAGCCAATTGCTAGTGGGAAGATCCATTTTCGCTCCATTGTTTGTAGGTGTCTCAAATGCAAGTAATAGCTTCTCAATCTCTTCATACTCTCTCTCTCTCTCTCTCTCTCTCTAAATTCCTGTTTTTTATCTACGGAAAAAAGGGTAAAAAATTGAAAACAGCTTGTGGGTATTTAAGAGCAAGATTCAGAGCTGATCTGAAATTAAGAATGGATTGAAATCAGTTGAAGAGAACACTGTTGGTCTGAGCTCTGATCTGTTTTTTGTTTTTTTGGGGGGAGGGGGAGGGTTTCTCTCTCTGGAATTGCATATAATGATGATTATAATTATATATGATGATGATGATGATGATAATGAAGACGATGACGAAGATGAGTTTCTCTATTCACCCAAAAAAAGGATGAGTTTCTCTGAGGAGAAGTGTAGTTGGGGCTGTTGGTGGGTGTTTGGATGATTCGTACGTGTGCGGGACGGGACGACTAGGGTTTTCTACACTTCCGCGGATGACGGAATTAAAACAGATTTGTGGGTAACGTGATAGTCACATATTCATTAATAATTTTATGATTTCATCAAACTATCACTAGGTATAGGATCTACATCGATTTAGGAATGTGTGAGTAAGTAAGATGAAAAATGCAGTGTTTTTTATTATATATGTGTAATAGTTGAGTGTGGAATTGTAATTTTTTGTAAAAAAATATTAATCTCGTTAATGATTTGAAAAAAAAAAAAAATCAATCAATGTGTTTGATTTAAGTTTTATGGATGAAATTTTTTTAAAATTGAGTTTTTTGATTTTTATGTTTTTTTATTTTTAGTGAATATTTTTAAAATTTTAAACATTTTTTTTATATTTTTAGATGTACCTTATTTAGATGTATCTAAAAAGTAAAAAATTTGTGAAAAAATATTTTAAAAAATTAATAAATACATAAAAATATAAAAAGGGGAATGCACCAATAAATCCCAAATTAATAACTTATCTACTGTTTAGTCTTAAAAGTTTTCTTATAGACTGAAAGGTCCCATTACAATGTTTCAAACATCAGATTAATGTTTCGAACATTAGATTTTGAACATCAGATTAATGTTTGGAACATTAGATTTCGAACATCAGATTAATGTTTCGAACATTAGATTGATGTGCAAATGGGACTAAATGGAGCATAAGAAAACTTTTAGGACTAAATGGTTCAACTTTTCAGAAACTAGGACTTATGGGTAAATTTTCCATATAAAAAATGTACTAAATTTTTATATTTTTTTATATTTTTGGTATTTAGTGAATTTTTAAAAGATTTTTTTTATAATTTTTTACTTTTTAAGTGTATTTATGTTAGGTGTGTCTAAAAAGTAAAAAAATTGCTTAAAATATTAAAAAAAATTCAATAAAAATAAAAAAAAAACACGAAAAATAAGAAAATAAAATTTTTTAAAAAGTATTTTTTGAAAAGTAGAAACAAACAAAGTGAATGTTATTTTGAGTTTATATAATATTTAGTTATACGTTATATATTGTTTAGTTATGATATTTTTTAAGTTATAATTCAAAAAATATAAAATTATATTATTTTATTATTTAATTATAAAATACATATGATGTATACCATTCGTTCTCATACGATTTTTAAGTAAATGTGTTAGTTTATTGTGTTTTGGGTAATCTTTTGCTTTTGTTTTGTTGTTTATTTATTTATTTATTTTTATAACTTGTAAATACAATGGGAGAATTATACACATGTGTAAGCGAAAATTAATTATATATTAATTAATTGTATATTAAAAAATGGGGTTTTTTTTTAAGGTCCCTGGTATTATGATTTTATAGCATAAAGGACATCAAATATTTTTATAATGCCTAAGGTCCCTTAACAATATTTTCATAATGTCTAAGGTCCCTCAACCTTGATCTAGAGAAATTTCAGTCCAGAGAAATTTCGGTCCAGAGAAATTTCAGTGCAGAGAAAATTGGTCAGAGAAATTCTGGCCCAGAGAAATTTCTCTGGACCAAATTTCTCTGGATGAGTTTCTCTACTTTTCTTCTCATTCACATCCAAATCATTGTGATTCATTAGGTAAGCAACATTGTTCAACTGAATTCAACTGGAAAAATTCCACATTGTAATATATAAGCAACATTAGAATGGGATAACAATGGCAACTTACCAGAACCAGAGAAATTTTGGAAAAATTTGGGTTTGATCCTCCATCATTGTTGCTACTGTTGTTACCATCTCCACTGCCACTCGACTCCGGAGACCCAAATGCCCCAACTGTGGCACAAGTCTTTAAGTAGGAATGCTTCCCTATAGTAAAACTATGAAGCTTTTTATCAGATTCCAAATCAAATTTCCAGAGAAAATTCTATCCATAAAATTTCTCTGGACATCACAGAGAAAATTTCAAATTTCTCTGAACAAATCACATAAAAAATTTCAGAAAAAATTTCAAAATTCTATCCACTATAGAACCAATCGATTTTGCAGTGACTTGGATATATATTCACAGAGAAAATCCCATCACCAGAGAATTTCTCTGGATTTAAAACCAGAGAAATTTTCTGCATCACCAAAAAAAAAAAAACAACAACAACAACAACCCAGAGAAATTATGTTTTTGGTCTTTGAAATTTCTCTGGACACTTCAACCCAGAGAAATTCAATTGGGTTGATCCAGAGAAATTATCTGGTTTGTCTTGATAATTTCTTATTCTTATTTGCTAGTGTCCTAATTTTTGCAGAGATAGTCAAGGAAATACTAAAAGAACGCCTATCAAACTTGAAAAAGAATGCAATCATTTTCATTATCATCAAACAATTTTCAGTAGCATACACTGCAAATAACTGAAACAGCAAGTAGTAGACATTCGAAAGCAAAAGAATATGTTTAGCTGGGGAGACATTAACAATTGATTCTACAAAATACACAAAATTATGAAGAAATCTACTCACTTCAGCATGGGAGATAAAAGAAAAATATCAACACAATCTCTTAAAAACACCCAATTGCACACTATCTGCAATACCAAGAGATGAGGGTAAAAAAAAAAATTAACAAAAAAAATAAAGCTGAATTCTTATGAATCTCATCTACTAATCACTGAAAATGGAAAATTGCCCTCTAAATTAAGTATTAGTAAAGGAGCAAATGTACTGAGAAGAACAAATTTTATATTTTTTAACCTACATCCGAGGAATTCAAAGAAAAAGGCTTCAATATCCAGAATTTACAATCTGAACTCTGAATCACCAAGTTTAAGAAATTAATTGCTGATTACAAAACAAGTAAACATAAAGAATAATAATAATAGTACATAAACAATTATCAGATCCAGAATTAAATCAAAAGAATTCAGAATGAAAAACCAAAGACCTTCTGAGAATTCCATGAACCATGACGACAAGATGATCAGCGAAAGAAGCAAGAGATTGGTTACAACTCCAAACATCTTGTGCTCCATTGATCGATTCCGACGAGCACACACCATTCTTTGATGTACCGTTTTCCATTACTCTCTCCCTCTCTCTCAGTTATGCATTGGCAAAGCGATAATCAAAAACTTCGATAGAAAATTTCACAATCAATCGATCTTCGAGTTGTTGAAAATAATCGAGAAAAAATCGTCCAACAGGGAGAGAGAGAGAGGTGCCAATGGATTTGACTGAAATTTGTCTGATATATGTTTAGGACCTTAGACAACAAAAAATAATTTTGTGGACCTCTTCCATTACGAAAAGTGGGAGAGGTACCCTAGACCGATTTTTCCTTAAAAAATTATAATATTAATTATAAATTTTATATGGGTAAATTACATTTACCTCCCATGAGGTTTCTGACAAATACAAGGACCTCCCTTGTAGTTTGAATAATTACAATAACCTCCCCTACTTTACCTGACAATATCAAGATTCCCCCTGCTGTCAAAAATAGCTTCTGTTCATAGCCCTTATACTTTGGAAATTGTTTTCTGCTTTACTTTTTTGTTATTGATATATCACAAGGGTTGACAAATAGGCTGCTGTAGAAATGCGGAGAAAAAAGGTTTTCATATTTACCTTCACATGATAAATTTCAGATTGTGAGGCTGTGTTCATCATTTTCAATCTGCATTTCCCCACCCTCAGTTAATACATCTTCCTGCTATCCATTTTTGTATTATCACTGTAGTTATAAGCTCATGTTATGACATGATTCCTATCTACCATTGTTCAGTGCCACAAAACTTGGCTGCCTTACTGGCCATTCTTTAAAATTAATGTTGCAGGAATGAATGAATTTCAATGTGACGGAGGAGAATGATCGAATTCTGAGAAGGAATATGATAATTAACCACAGACAAGACATGAAGCCACAGTCAATATTTGAAAAACAGGATATGTTCGCATATTGTATACATACTTACATATGCATGCATGATTTTTATGTGAAACATAGTAATTATTACTCTTGTTTTTTAGCAAGACCTTCATTGTCGCTCAAGCAAGGTAGCTACTAAACTATCTGAACAACTCTTTTCATTGTATTATTACTTTTATTATTATGACACTTGTATCGAAGGCATTTGGCGATGTATCTATTAGCAAACACATGTCATAATGGGGTAAACGAAGGTTGCCTTGTTCTAAATGGTGGAAGGTTATAGAAGATAAGGATTCCTATGTTTTCAGACCCGGGGTAGATTAGTCTGAATATGTGATATAATTTTGGAAGTATAGTCTCATTGGTATAATTTGTGGAGTGGTTGTCTATTGTCTCTCTATGACTTGCCAATCTGGCAACGCAGAGAGGGTGGTGATCTTTCTATCCTAAGACCAATAACATGTTCTCTTTGTTAACCATCAGACCTAGTGGTGGAGGGAGTATGGGCCCAAGAGGGCCACATGCTCCTTTACTTAAAATAGAAAAAAAAAGAAAGAAAGAAAGAAAGAAGTAGCATATGGAAATTATGAGCTTGAGAGAGAGAGGTGCAATACTTACAAATTGACAAATTTTACGTTTTATCAATTTGTATATATACATATGGAAATTATTAACACATTATACTAACATATTGTAGGTGTCAGATGCATCTAGTGGGCAACAAGCTTCAAAAGAAAATGAATAGGTATGCATTTCTCTGCGTTTAATGAATTTTTCAGCTTATTATGAATTAGGTTGCCTATTTCTCTGAGAGTCGTTGTTATGGAATTAGCATTTTAAATCAATTCTTTTTGGGTGTATGTATGGCCTCAACATTGTTCAGTAGTTTTTTGTGGTGGCAAATGGGTTTTCTTTAGACTCTGTAATCCGATTCAATTGCAAATAGGTTTTCTTCAGAGACATCATCTTCTTCTCCTTGTCCTTGTACATTCCATTCTCTTCCTCTCTTATCAGGTCCAATCTCTAGGTAATCTCTCTCTCTCTCTCTCTCTCTCTCTCTGTTATATGTATGTGTGTGTGCTGTTTGTTCAATTTGGATCCCTTATATTGTTCAATTATCAGTGAATTCGTATCTATTTTGAGAATGGGTC